TGACCCATTCGTAATCACGCGATTTTCCTCATTTCTCATGTTTTGGAGTTTGATTTTAATTTGATCTCCTGTTTTTAAGTCAGAAAATCATCTGTATCTTATTGTCCTTAAGGCCATAAACTCTTCAATATTGCTAAGTGGACCACAAATTTATTGTAACTAATAATCGAAATTAGAAATATTATTATTCATGCAAGTGGCTTCAATTTACTATAAGTAGGTGACATGAAAAAACCTCAGTATCTAATTTAAAGATTCTTGATTTTAGAACAATTTATGAAATAATTAATAAAACCACATAGTAATTATTCCTTGGGTGTGCATGCAATATATATTCTATTTTATTTTTTTGGCAATATGTAAAATGTAACTAGGACAGAAAAACCTAACATTTTGATGAATCAATGGTTAGGCCAAAAGTAAGAGAATAAAACAAAAAGCAAAAACATCATAAGATACTGTATATATATTAGAGAGGTGTGTGTGTGTGTGTGTGAAAGAGACAAATTAAAGGAGGGGGGCCTCATGCATGGTGCAAGATTAGTATTAATTATTCTGGACCAAAAAAATTTAGGATACATTACAACCATCCCTGAAGTAAGATCAAATTACAAAAAAATCCCTCATATTTGGATGATTACAACTATTACCTCAACTGTGAATCTTTTTGCATGTCGACCTATATGATGTCAAATTCTACATAATCTTCTACATATATTCCCATGGAACGTTCTCTAGTTTGTACTTGTTTTGTGCAAAAATACAGTTTATGATGCACCATAAATCTGATACTTACAACTAAAAGACACATCTTATGATCATCTTGTTTCAAAATGAAAACTCCACATAATTATCTAGAAGATTCCACTAAATTTGACACCGCAATTGTGCATGTGAATGAAGATTCAAATTACAATTGAGGGATGTGGTTGTAATTACCCAAACATGAGGAGTTGTTTTGAAATTTGACCTAACCTCAGGAGTTGACCGTAATTTATCAAAAAAATTAATTAAAAAAAAATTAAAAAATTCCTTCAAATGAAAACTTGTGCATTATATATATAAAAAAGAGGGTTATATCAGAAGAAATGAATGAATCAAGATCAGGTGCTCCCACAAATTGGTCCACTACCCATATAGTACTACTTGAAAAGACCATTCCCACAATTATTATTATTGTTGGTTTAATTTAATTTATTTCTCTCTCCCTTCCACACCACATAAACAAGCTAGCTAGTACTACTTATTCATCATCTCTTCTTATACTTCATTTTCATCATCACTACTTATTAACTTCATACACTATAATCATTCTTAGAGAGAGAGAGAGAGAGAGAGAGAGAGAGAGTAATGAAATCGGGTGAGGTAGAAGAGGAAAAAGCAGCGGCGATCAACGAGGATAGTACCGGTAGTGGTGGCGGTGGTTCATCCGAGGATCTGAGTTTAAAGAATCTATCAAAGATTATAATACCACCATTGGGTGTAGCTTCAGTTTATTACACTTCTCACAACCATTCTAATGGCAAAATCCTCTCTCCCATGGATTCCCGATACCGGTAGAACGACCTTTCCCGATTTCTTTTCTTTCCTTTATCCCCCGAATTTTCATACATACATCATATAGTTCATATATATATATATAGTTATGGAGGTTTTTATTGCTTTGCATGTGAGCAATGTTCAATTTCAATTACATGAACACTAGTATTAAATATGATGACTTTTTAAGTAGTTATATCTAATTCTAAGACATATATATATATATATATATATATATATATATATATATATATATATATATATATATATATATATATGTATGTTTATATAAAGTAAATTCGGTGATCGTTCGATACATATTTTACACACAGCCACATGATATATAGCTAAGAAACTAACAAATGAGTTAAGACCACACAACCTAGCTCGTTAGGCGAGTCACTACCCGACTTTGATTATTGAAAATAATGTCACAGTTCAAATCATTTTTTCTCCAATTTGTAACAGAATTTGATTTTTTTTCTTTTTCTTTTCGAGAAAAAAAATATTTATACATATTTATATAACATTAATGTGGGTGACAAGAAAATGGAAGAATTATTGAATGGTTAATAAATAAATAACGTGCAGGTGTTGGGAGACATTGATGGTAATATTGGTGGCGTACTCGGCATGGGTGTGCCCTTATGAAATCGCGTTTCTAAAATCAAATCCAAACACGCCTTTATTCATAGCGGACAACATCGTAGACTTCTTTTTTGCGGTCGATATTGTCTTGACGTTTTTCGTTGCCTACATCGATTCCACTACTCAATTATTAATTCACGACTCCAGAAAAATCGCTAAAAGGTCAGTGCGTTTTCTCCAACCATATTCTCATTATGTTATTCGTTTCGGGTTTCGAGTTTCGGTTAATAAAATTATTTATTCAGAAGAATATGGCCGAAAAAAATACTGATTTTGGGGTCAATAAAGAGATTCCTCCTCTTAACCAAGACCATATGAAAAAAGAAAGAATATGTTGAATTTGGTCAAAGGATAAAAATATGTCACGAGTTATTCGAAAATTATTGTAAATCTTGTGTCAATATTCTACTTTTGTTATTAAAGATTTATGGAACCCATAAAGTAGAAAATGATATAAGCATATATAAATAGTTTTGTAGATGTTATAATCGATAAAATACATTGAATGATTTTAAATCATAGATCTGCATATGATATAATAATACATACACATTTATGTAAATATATGCTTCGTGCATGATTATTTGTATAGATCTACGGTTGAAAATCACCCAATATATTTCAACGGAGTATAGTATCTTATAGACCTATAGAAAATGTTTTGTACATGCTACATTCGATGAAATACACTGAGTGATTTTTTAAATCGTAGATCTGCAAATAATAACAAATACACACGCCCACGTATATATGTGCTTAGTAATTTGTTATTTGCATAGATCTACGATTTAAAATCACTGATATATTTCAACGAGTATAACATCTTATAGACCTATGGAAAAGGGCGATGTGGTCCAACAATACAAATGTCACTTTCAAGTGGACCTATTGTACCTTAATAAATCGTTTATTAGTTGTCTGAATAGGCCCATTTTTAAATTCCAACCACTACAATTATGGCACGTCTGAAAGTCGGATGAATCCGATAGGAATTAGCATTTACGGGAAAAGTTTTTAACTTTTTTTCAGAAGACAAGCTAATCCCAGTTACTTTCCAAAAAATCTCGGAAACCGGAATTTCGAAAATGAAAAAACTCGTTCCAAAATCGAATTTTTCAGTCAGGACCGGCGGCAATTTTCCGATCACTTAAAATATAAAATGCATAATAAGTATACATTATAAGTGTGTTTTTTTTTTAAAAGCGTCGGAATTTTTGGAATTATTTTCAAAAGTTAAGAAATCAGAATCTCATATCTATTTCAATTCCGATTCAAATAAATCGTATCATAATCAGTGGAAATCGAAAATTGCATGAATTATGCAGGTATTTGTCAACATGGTTCATAATGGATGTGGCGTCGACAATACCATTCGAGACCATAGCTTTCTTCATTTCAAGCGAACGTCACTCGCCGCTCACTTATTCCCTCCTCGGCCTCCTCCGATTTTGGCGGCTCCGCCGTGTCAAGAGTTTCTTTACCAGGTTTTTATTTTATTTTTCTTTTTTGAAATATGATATTTATATTATAGGGTAAATTACGAAAAACCCCATGAACTTTGGCTAAATAACGAAAAATACCCCCTCTATCCGTAATAATCAAAATCCCCCTCTGATTAACTATTGATCGAGTTTTTTAACAGAAAGTGTGTACAATTTATTATACATTTTGTTAAATAGGTGCGGAAAAAAGAATATCTGAAAATATCAACAACAAAAAATTCGTGAAAAGTCACATTGTAGGGGGTTGATGTAAGACGGAAACAAACCTTATGGGATTTTTGGTAATTACGAATAGATTGGGGTTGTTTTCATTATTTAGTCTAAGTTCAGGGGTTTTTCGTAATTTACCCTAATATTATATTAAGTTATAAACCGATTTTTTTATTATATATTATGGTATTGCAGGATTGAAAAAGATATCAGATTTAGCTATTTCTGGGTCAGATGTGCCAGACTCTTGTTTGTAAGTAAATACTAATGCCTCGTTTGGTTGTCAAGATAAAACGAGACCGTAAACAAATTACCAAACAAACTGCTCTTCTACTTATAAGTTAAGGGTTTATTGCATTTGACACCCGAAAGTATAGTTTAATTGCAAAAAACACACATTTGTTGTTAATATTAGTAAACGCACCCGTGCGTAATCAGGGGCGGACCCAACGTATTCTTCGTGGGAGCCGCCCCTTAAAAAAAGAAAAAAAAAATCAAACAAATTCGAACGATCATACGGTAGGCTTGACTCGTTCGTTTGCACTAATGACTCGAATGTCTAGGCTTAATAAATCAAGATTATGCGAATTTAATATGCAGGTAACACTATTACAAGTGCATTGTGCTGCATGCCTAGCATACTTGCTTGCCGACATATATCCGAACGGAGGGAACACATGGATCGGGTCGGCCATACCGAATTTCAGAGAAACGAGCCTCTTAATAAGATACATTTCGGCTATGTATTGGTCAATCACAACCATGACCACCGTCGGGTATGGCGACATACACGCGGTCAACGCCTTGGAGATGGTCTTCATTATCTTCTACATGCTCTTCAATCTCGGGTTGACCGCTTACATCATCGGTAATATGACTAACTTGGTCGTTGAAGGCACCCGACGGACCATGGAATTCGTAAGTCTTTTGCAAAATACATTTATACTCGTAGTCATTCATGCATTGTGTGTATAGTGTGGATTAATAGGAACGTAATTTTTGAATTTCGTCGATTCTTATTCCAAAAAATTTCAAGATTTGAATATTTTCTTCAAAAAAAATTCTTTTTTTTTTATATATATGGAAGTCCATCCGATCACACATCTATCTAGAGGTGGATATTGGTACGGGATTTCTGAATTATACCTATTTCGATCTGGATATTTCTGATTTCGGAACAATATTTTTCATTGTGATTCCCAAAGTTCCGATTTTTCCTATTTTTGGAGCGGAATTGTAATACATATTATATTTTGATTTATGATTCAATTTTTATTTCCGAAAATATTTTCAAAACTTAGGATCATTGTTTCAAAAATTGCACTTATATTATCAATATCATAATGTAGTAAATACTATAAATGACTAAAAGAAGGGAAATTTCGTATTCCGCCGATTCCAATTCTGAAAATTTTCAATTTTGGAACAAGATTTTTAATCCAATTTCCAAAAATTCCAATTTTCAATTTTTTTTCGGAAAAAAAAATTGGAATTACTTTTTCACTTCTGAAACAAGTTGGAATTTCCCCCGAACATACTATTTCCGGTCCGATCCTTTCCATTTCCACCTTTAGACCGATCCGATTTCTACTCCTACTCGTGTGAGGTTTAAAATCCCCCGTAAACTAAACGGTTCTCGTTTTGTTTTCTTGTAGAGAAACAGCATCGAAGCTGCATCGGATTTCGTATCACGAAACCATTTGCCTACACGACTAAAAGAGCAAATAGTAGCTTACATGTGCCTTCGATTCAAAGCAGAGAGCTTAAACCACCAGCAACTCATCGAGCAGCTCCCGAAAACCATATGCAAAAGCATTCAACAACACCTTTTCTTGCCAACAGTCAAGAAAGTCTATCTCTTCAAAGGCATCTCAACCGAAATTCTCCTGCTCCTCGTAAGTTTCGATTTTACAAACAATTTTATTATTAAAAGTCCCTTTTTCAAGAAACTGATTATTTTTTTTTTTCAAAAAAATAATTATATCGATCAGATTGCGGATATGAAAGCGGAGTATATTCCGCCGAGAGAGGACGTGATAATACAGAACGAGGCGCCCGAGTACGTGTATATTATAGTGTCGGGAGAAGTTGAAATGATCGATAGCGAGACTAACGAGGGAGAAAAAGCAGTGTGGTGTTTTAGGTGCGGCGATATGTTTGGAGAAGTTGGAGCTTTTTGTTCAATGCCTCAAAGCTATACGTATCGAACGAAAACGCTTACGCAGCTTCTCAGCTTGAAGACGACTTCTTTGATACACGCAATGAAGACGAGACAAGAAGATAATGTCACCATGCTCAAGAATTTCCTTCAGGTAGGTAATTAATTGGTTCTCGACTATTATTATCGACTTTATCGAATTGCATCAAAACTTTTTTTTCTTTTTTTGGTGTATGCAGCATCACAAAAAGCTTAAGGATTTACGTTTAGGGGACTTATTTCTCGAAGGTGACGAAGAAGATTCTAACATGTCGATAAACTTGCTGTCGGTTGCGGGTACCGGAAATGCGGCGTTTCTCAACGAGCTTCTTGAGGCAGGGCTGGACCCTGATGTTGGAGACTCTAAAGGAAAAACCCCTTTGGTATATATTACATACATACATACATATATATAATTATATATGTGTTTCTTGAAAATATGTTTAATGTTTTATTAATCATATATGTATATGTATATATGGATAAGTGATCCTAATGCTGCCTGTTGCACAACCTTCTCAGCATATAGCAGCATCGGAAGGGAACGAAGACTGCGTCTTAGTCCTTCTGAAGCATGCTTGTAGCTTACACCTCAAAGGTAAAAAAAATAAAAATTGTAATAGAATTTGCGAATTCCGCTGATTCACGATTTCGAAACATTACTTTTCATTCTGAATTCCGAAAGTTTTGAATTTTCGAAAAAAAATTAACGAAATTAGAATATATGTATTAGATTCCAATTCCCGATCTTGATTTTTTTTTACCCCGGAAATTTCCAATGACACGTATAATACCAATATTATTAAATATTTTTATGTTACATGAAACAGATTTAAACGGGAACACGGCATTATGGGAAGCAATTGCGTCGAAGCACCACTCGATATTCAAGATTCTATACCATTGGGCTTCGGTTTCCGATCCCTACGTCGCAGGCGATCTCCTCTGCCTAGCCGCCCGGAGAAACGACCTCGTAGTAATGCATGAGCTTCTGAGAAACGGGCTTTACGTGGATTCGCATGACCGCCACGGAACGACAGCTGTACAAGCTGCGACGAACGAGAACCACATGGAGATGGTGAGGTACTTGCTCATGAACGGATCGGAGGTCAACGAGTCGGTCAAGAACAAGATTCCTTCGGAGAATTTGAACGAGATGCTAAAAGAAAGAGAGGTCGGACATCGTATAGCCGTGTCCGAGATGGAAAACGATGATGTTTTGAGACGAGTGAACGAAAACGACCGAAAGGGTGGTTTAGGAATCGGTAATAGTAAAGGGAATGTGGTTTTTTCGAGGGTGAGTGTGTACAAAGGTTGTAGTAACGACCGGAGGGAAGGTCGTTGTGCTGAGCCAGGGAAGTTGATTCGGCTGCCGAATTCGATTGCCGAGCTCAAGAAAATTGCGGGTATTTATTTATAAATAAAAAAAAATTGATGCCATAATTAAATAAATTTAATTTAAATTTCGTTTAAGGTTTGGTTTGTGTTCTTTGGCAGGTGAGAAGTTTGGATTTGATGCTGAAAATGCAGTGGTGACTAATGAAGAAGGTGCTGAAATTGATTGCATTGAGGTGATTAGGGATAATGATAAGCTGTTTATAGTTGAGAATCTTGATTAGTTATGTAATTAGGTCTGATAATTAATTGCATTAGGTGTGTAGAAAAAAACTGGAAATGATTAATTGGAGAGTTTATAATAATAAGGGGGACTTGATTGCAAATTTCCAATCTCTCCATAAATTCAAATATTGCAAACACATCCCATTTTTTTATAACTCTTCTATCCCCACATGATTAGCCATTCTTCTTCTGTCACAAAAGAAGTCGAAAATCTCGACCGCCTTTTCCTCTCTCGAAACTTCATGTCGATCAATTTACTTCAAGAAGTTTTCTCTTCGCTCAGATCATTCCATTCCCAACTAACCCTTTTGGAGAAAATACGGCTAGACGAGTACATGGACAAAAGCTCGAGACTTTGGGAAGCTCGCTACGCGCTGAAATCGGGCATTTCTTCTATGGAGAATTACTATTCTTCCTGCACAAGTATACTATC